GTATTGTGTCTGTATGCACATAGGTATATAAAATTTTACAGAAATCTTGAACGTACTTCAACTGGTTAATTAGTAGCCCTGTATCTGGTGCTTATTCCCTTGTAGGAACTATTTGCATCAGTCAGTAGAAAGGAAAACTTGTGTGGCTTTTTTAAACTATCTCGGGTAGACACCATGTTTCAGAGCCACCTTTCTTAATCCCTTCGTCCTCCCCCACTCCATTCTTACAGCGGCATTCTTACAGCTGGGCATGAAATACCCTCTTCTGATAGATGCTGAGGCCCCACAGGAAGAATATTCCCTGAAAGCTTGCTTGAGAGTCTTGTCCATGGCCGAAGGCTTTGTCCCTTTAGTTCTCCCAGAAGATAGCTCTGTGACCCTAATGGAGATTCAGGCTTCCCTACTGGAGGCTCTGGACTTCAGCTCCAAACAGAGCCCGTGAATGAATGCACAATTGGCCCCATTGGCTGTCAAGTCACGCGTCTGTTTAAATCCCAAAAACATTCTCTATTAGTAATTTTCTGTGTTAATTTGGTATGACAACGTGGTCCTGCAAATGCAGAAGTTGGCAGGAAACTTCACCAAATGGGGGAGATCAGAGGGCACCATTTTGTTCTCTTTGGACAGTGTAACTATTTTTGGAATGAAATTTGTCAGAATTGCAGTCTCTTTTCTTTCTTGAAACCTAGATAATCGAGGGATTTGGTCTTTTTGCTGAAACTCTCCTGATGCCACCATGGTCCCGATTCCTTGGGTTTCGTTTCGTTTTTCTTTTTCTCTTCTCTCTTCTTTCTCTCTCTCTCTCGCTTTATTCATTTGGTGGGGTGGCGGGGGGTGGAGAGGGAGAGAGAGACTCTCAGGCAGTCTCATGACAGGTCTCATGACCTGAGCTGAAACCAAGAGTCAGACGCTTAACGGACTAAACTACCCAGGCACCCCTCCTTGGTTTCATTTCTGTGGCTGGCTTCCATCCTTCCATTAGGCTAGCTCTAGTCTTGCCCAGATACTCTGAACTTAATCTTCCTTTTCTATCTAAGCTAGAGACTAAAATTCAATTCACCCTTGAAATACTTAATAAAATGACATCTCACTTAACAGCTTCACATAAATTACTTTTCTGGGTAACTGATTCATACCTTATAAGATAGCAGCTTCTTTTAAAAAGATTTTTTCAAAATCTTAGAGAAGGAAAGCAGAGAGAGAGAATGAGAGGGAAAAACAGACTCCCCACTGAGCAGAGTCTGATCAGGGCTCGATCCCAAAACCCTGAGATCATGACCTGAGTCTAAGGCAGATGCTTAATGCTGAGCCAACCAGGCGCCCCAGACTGTGGGTTCAGCTAGTTTTATTTTGACCAAATAGTTCTGTTTTGTTTTGTTTTTAGGTTTTATTCATTTATTCATTTATTTATTTATTTGAGAGATAGTGACAGAGAGTGAGCACAAGTGGCGAGGAGAGGAAGAGGCAGGCTCCCCACTGTCCTGGGAGTCTGACTTGGGGCTTGATCCTAGGACCCTGGGGTCATCTGAGCTGACAGTAGACACTAAACTGACTGAGCCACCCAGGTGCCCCTTAACCAAATACTTTTTTTTCTCTTCTTTTTTTTTTTTAATTATTTTGTTATTTATTTAAGATTGTATTTATTTATTTGACAGAGACACAGCGAGAGAGGGAACACAAGCAGAGATAGTGGGAGATGGAGAAGCAGGCTTCCCATTGACACAGGGCTGGATCCCAGGCCCCTGGGATCATGACCTGAGCTGAAGGCAGAGACTTAACGACTGAGCCACCCAGGTGCCCCTTAACCAAATATTTCTAACAGAATCAAAGTGTCACTGAGTATGTGAAAATAATACAATGTATGTTCAAGTAGTGAATGGTGTACAATTTGATGTTGTGCCCCAAATTTTCACCACCACCACCCCCAAATTTAGCTATTTGCAGTGAACTTCTGTAAAATGTCTTCAATGCATTGTGAATGCTGATTTGCTCTGTGCTAGGCCCCATGCTGTGTGCCCAAGGGACAGAGTGGTGAAGGAAGAGCCCTTGCCTTCAGGCTTACAGATAGAGAATACAGACCAGCAGGCCTTCTTATCATTAGACTTTACCTTCTTCTACAGCCTTCCTGGCTGTAATACAGAGCTGCCCTTGGGCTTAGACAGATATGTGGGACTCTTCCTACCTAATTTAAGTAGATGATGATGCTCTTTGAACTTTTGCATTTGCTTTTCTAAAAAATTATCTATATAGGTAGTATACACACATAATAGAAAATTCAAAAGGGGCAAAAGTATGTGGAGTAAAATTTAAGTCTCCCCTATTACCTGACTACTCAGCTGATGTCCCGGGCAGTCATTGTTAGAGTCTTACATGTATTGTTTCCAGCGTTATCATGCGTGTCCGTGGGCATTCCCTCTCCCCACGGACTGTAGCTTACACATAGCCTTGCCTCTTTCATATAGCATGGTGTCTTGGAGACCATTCCATACCAGTACGCAGAGGCATTACTCTTCTTTATGGCTGAATCGTAGTCCCTTACACTGGTCTTTTTTTTTTTAAGATTTTATTTATTTATTTGATAGAGAGATCACAAGTAGGCAGAGAGGCAGGCAGAGAGAGGGGGGAAGCGGGCTCCTTGCTGAGCAGGGAGCCTGATGTGGGGCTCGATCCCAGGACCCTGAGATCATGACCTGAGCCAAAGGCAGAGGCTTAACCCACTGAGCCACCCAGGCGCCCCCCACCCCCGGTCATAATGAACCTTTTGGTTCCTGCTATTAACAGTGCTGGAGGGAATGGTCTTACATTAACATAGTTTAATTTCGAAGGACACTGCCCTGCATTTCTGAGCAACACACGAAGATGCCTATTGCCCGTAACTTCCCTCCTTATAGATTGTTTATTCTCCCAAGTTCGTTTTACCTATTTTTTTTATTTTTAAAGATTTTATTTATTTATCTTGAGAGAAAGCACAAGAGTGGGGAAGGTCCAATGGAGAAACAGGCTCCCTGCTCAGCGGGGAGCCGGATATGGGGCTTGATCCTGGAACTCTGGGATCATGACCGGAGCTGAAGGCAGATTCTTCAACCACTGAGCCACCAGGTTCCCCCATTCTCCCAAGTTTAAATGCCATTTTTTCTTTTCCTGTGAACTGTTCATGCATTCTGTCCACTTATTATTTTTTTAAGATTTTATTTATTTATTTGATAGAGGAAGATCACAAGTAGGCAGAGAGGCAGGCAGAGAGAGAGGAGCAAGCAGGCTCCCCGCTGAGCAGAGAGCCCGACGCGGGACTCGATCCCAGGACCCTGAGATCATGACCTGAGCCGAAGGCAGAGGCTCTAACCCACTGAGCCACCCAGGCGCCCCAACTGTCCACTTATTTTTAAAGATTTATGTTTGTTTTAGAGCACAAGTGAGCAAAGTGGGGAGGGCCCGAGGGAGAGGGAGAGGCCTCAAGCAGAGGACTGCTGAGTGCGGGGCCCAGCTCAGGGCTCAATCCCGTGATCCCAAGATCATGACTTGAGCCGAAATCACGAGTTAGACACTCAGTCCACCCAGGCACCCTTGTCCCCTTTTCTTTTTTCTTTTTCTTTTTTTTTTTTTTTTTTAAAGATTTTATTTATTTGTCAGAGAGAGAGGGAGAGAGAGCGAGCACAGGCAGACAGAATGGCAGGCAGAGGCAGAGGGAGAAGCAGGCTCCCTGCAGAGCAAGGAGCCCGATGCGGGACTCGATCCCAGGACGCTGGGATCATGACCTGAGCCGAAGGCAGCTGCTTAACCAACTGAGCCACCCAGGCATCCCGCTTGTCCCCTTTTCTATTCAGCAGTTGGTTGGTTGGTTGGTTGGTTGGTTGGTTTTGGAAGAACTCTTTGTATCCCGAAGAAATCTGTTTTCATGTCTTTGTTGCAACTCTGCCTCTGCTTTCCTGTTGTCTCGTTACCACCATCTCTACGAGCGGTGTCAGCTCTCATTTCACTTTTCTGTGTCTCCGTGTTTCACTGCTGCCTTTCTTCAGCAGCATCTCTTCCCCTATTAGAACTTCCTGTAAGACGAATGGATACAGTGAGCTCCTGGGCTCCGTGTATTGGCCACCGGAGATCTCTTTTTGCCTCTCAGTGGTATTTTTGTGACTTACTCCTGACTTCATATACTTTGGAACCGCGTGTCCTTTTACGTTTACGTGAAGTGTTCCTTAGGGGCTTGTTAAGGCAAAAGCCTAGAAAGGTATATACTTGTCAGCCCGAGACAGTAAGGTTTGAACTCCAACCCTTACTCCATGGTGAGCTCTGGTATTGTTTTAGTACATTATTATTATTATATTTAAGAGGAGGAGAGCACGCATTCGTGAGTTGGCGGGGGTTGGGTGTTGAGAGGCACAGGGAGAGAGAGGATCCTAAGTGGGCTCCATGCTCAGCTTGGAGCCTAACGTGGGGCTCAATCTCACGACCTGAGCCAAAACAAAGAATTGGATGCTGAACCGGCTGAGCCACCTAGGCATCCCAGTTTTTTGAGTCAGGTTTGGTTTAACATTTTTTACTCTCAGTGGCCTTTAACCTTGGCCTAGTCCTTTGACCCCCCCTCATCAGTAAAATGGGGGATACCTATATATCAGGTTGTTGTAGAGATTCACTGAGGCTGGAAACATTTAGAAGCAACGAGAGGGGTGGAGTAGAGTCCTTAAGTTTTCATCTCATCCTCAAGTCCCCATGTTTTCTAGATTGAGGTTTTCCATCTCTCAGGCACTGCCATGGTTCTGGGTTTCCCGGGGCAAGAAGAACCCTAGCTACTTGGTCACATTCTGCACGCTCTTAAAACATTCTCTGAGCATGGCGTCAGTTTTGTCAACGGTGGAAAAGGAACAGCTGTCAGACGCAGGTGCCGGTGGTGCTGACTGCATAGGGTGGTTGGGGCTTCACGGTAAAGCCTGGGGCACAGTGGCAAGTTCTCGGTCAGCTCTGGGAAAGGAGGTGAAGTCACGGCCCTTCCTCCTGTCTTGCAGAAGCCCCGTCCTGCATGTCTCTTGGCAGCACGTCCCTGAGCGCCCCTTCCATCCACTGCCCCTCCGCTGCGGTCTGCATCGGCATCCTCCCGGGCTTGGGCGCCTACTCCGGGAGCAGCGACTCCGAGTCCAGCTCAGACAGCGAAGGCACGATCAACGCCACCGGCAAGATCGTCTCCTCCATCTTCCGAACCAACACCTTCCTAGAGGCCCCGTAGCTCCTGTGTCCCTCCCAGAGCTCCTGCCCGAGTAGACCGGTCGGTTTGTTCCACCTCCGGGCCTCCCCTCCCTCAGAACTCCTTTGCCCGCTTCCTGTGCACACCGTGACATTTTTAACCTCATCTAAAAATGTGCCAGAATCCACTGTGGTCCAGCTTGTGTTTGGTTTCTCTTTCTACTCCAGTGCAGGTGTGCGGCCCTGTCTTGCTGCCTCTTCCCTTGCCACGGTGGTGGGGCGGGGACCGCGGCTCCGCTGAGGTTCCCCCGGAAATGCCTGGGAAGATAGCCACCCGCTGGTGTGCAGTGTATAGATCCCGTTGCTTTCTTGTTTTCTTTGTTTCCCTTCCTGACGGCACAGAGAAGCAAGGGCAGTTATGGGACAGACATCATATAACCCTTCTCTTCTAGCTGAGCGCACCATGTGGTTGTACTGCGCTGTGGAGCATTTTGCAGGGTGGGGGGAGGGAGGCCCCAGGTGAACTGCTGCACCCCCTTGGAACTGACCGATTCTTGATGTTGTGTGACTAAGTAAAGATTATAAACTACATCTGCCAGGGGTGTCACTCAGCGCTCAGCACTCATTGTGGAGTTTTTCCTTATTCCTTCTCTTCCTACTCCCTCCATCCAATCCCATTTAAGACCCTAAACCTTAGAGAAACAAACATGGGCCTTACCTTATTTCATCATGGCCAGAAAGCAGAAGCCCTGGTAGGTATGTAGACGAGATGACTTATTTCTAGCAGCTTCTGGAATTCTGAGTGCCAACCAGTGGGACACACCTGCCTGTTCTGACTCGACTCTGTGCTCTGTCAAGGCCCCTCTCTGTTTGGAATGTTTGTAGTTGAGGCTTCTTACTGTGGAAGCTTTTTGTGGCCTAAAGGTGCTGCCCTGTCTTTTCCTCCCCTCTGTGCGCCCCCTTCCTGCACAGGGCAGTTTCAAGACTGTGCGCAGCCAAGACCTCGAGGCACTGTTCCACCTGTCTCCTTAAGGGAGGCAGAGGCTCTCCCTCCGGGATGGAGAGAGATGAAGTTAGAGGGAGGCATGCTCTTGAAAAGCAAACACAAAAACATCTATAAGCTCCCCTGCTCCAGGAGAATGAGTCTGTACAGTTCTCTCTTCCCCTGGGTTCCTACATCAATTGTTTCTACTTTTTTGGGTGTGAGACGGAGAGAGACACACACAGAATGTGTTGACACTGTGGTGCTGGCAGGCAGAGCAGCTACTCATTTTTAATGTGGGCAGAGAGGCCCCTGGATCTCCTCCAACCCACTGCCTCTCCCCTTCCAATGCAGTGACACTCCGGTGCCCGTTAACAGATGGTGACTTCCCTTCACCCACAAGTGATGCCTTGTGAATCCTTCTTCCTTTTCAGGACCGTGCTAATTGTTCCTGTCAGCACAGGCGCCTCGGCTCCATCCTAACAAACAAGACATTTAGGTAAAACTGTGTAGGCACCTTCTGCTTCCCTGCTCCATTGTTCCTGCGATTGAGCTGTCATCATTACAGCATGTACCCAGAGCAACCTCACGCCGTTTCAGGAGGCAGACTGAGGAGTCAGAGTCACCATCTCTATGTGGTTTGACTTTTATTTTTTTTTTAAGATTTTATTTGAGATTTTATCTGAGAGAGCATGAGCGAGGTGTGGGGGGGCGGGAGGGAGAAGCAGGCTCCCCACTGAGCCAGGAGCCCGATGAGGGGCTCGATCCCATCACGACCTGAGCCCAAGGCAGATGTTTAACCCACTGAGCCACCCAGGCGCCCCTGTGATTGGATTTTTAAGAAGCCATAACTGTACCTTGTGGCCTCTGTTGTGAGGAGAAGGGGACAAAAGGTGATAGGGATTAAAACTTGAAAGCTAATCCACCTAAAAACAAGATCTTGCTTTTCCTGTACGGGATCTTGGGTCCCAACTCCCTCCTGGTCGACTAACGTAGCTAGATTGTGTTGAGAAGGTTGAGGCTCCGCAGAGAGAGATTTCTGCTCTCTGGTATCACAGGAGCCTGAGAGTCAGTGGTGATCGTCTCATCATGTTCACTGTCCCTGTTGGTGTAGACTCCTGGGAGACACACGTCCCATAGAACCATGACTGGCAGAGCAGGACCAGGTCTCCCTGGTAGAGGAAGCAGCCTTGAAAAGCAGCCATTGTAGACGGTGTGGTTCAAACCCAAAGGACAGAGAAAACAGGGACTGCTTTAATCCATAAAGTGCAGCTCTCAGGCCTGAATGAATAAATAAATAATTGGGGTTTTATAATTAGGAAAGAAAGGCTAAAGACAACCTGTATGGTGGGGTTTCTGTAAACCTGCTTACATTGTCCCGAGTGATAGTATTTTTTTTTTTTTAATTTTATTTGATAGAGCACAAGAAGTAGGCAGAGGGAGAGGGAGAAGCAGGTTTCCCACAGAGCAGAGAGCCTGGGATCCTGGGATCATGACCTGAGCTGAAGGCAGCTGCTTAACCAACTACCCAGGTGCCCCTGAGTGGTAATATTCTTACAACTCTTGAACCAGGCAAGGGAAAGCCTGTTAGCCAGTTCTCTCTATATTGTTTAGCCTGTGTCACACCATGCCCTGTCAACTACTTCTGACTTTCGGCCCTATTACCCACGTTGGTGGGGAGAAAGCATGAAATTCAGAGCATCCATTTTTCCATCTATAAAAAGCAGGGGAGCTGAGGTGACTGGACCCAGAGAGGTGGCTGGTGATCTGTTTCCATTTCCTTCCCTTGTCTCGGGTCCCAGGAGGAGAGAAGAGCTGGCTTCAGGTGAGTCTTAGACTGGAAGTTGGTCCCTTAACTAGGGGTGACCTGGGCCAGCTCTTTGCATCCTCATTCCGTGGGTTCTTCCCTTCTGGCTACCTCCTTTCTACCCAGGACAAGCTGCTTTTGCCTCAGACTTCCCCCAACTGCTTCTGCTTCTCCCTGAGAACAAAGCCTACTTCCCCCTTCCCTGGATTATACCGCAGTGGTTAGGAGCTTGGAGCCAGACATTTACTAGCTGGGTCAGTGGGGCAAGCTCCTTAACCTCTCTGGGCTTCAGTTCCATCCTTGGTGGATAGAAATGATGATACAACTTTCTGGTGAGGGACAAAGATAGTCTGGCTTAGGGACTGGGTGCGGGATCTGACACAGTGCTCAGTAAATGGTTGCCATCCTCAGTAGCCCTGATAGTGCTGGCCTTCCCTGTTTCTGGGTAGGGTGGCCAGAGCTTCCATAGCGGGGATTTATGGCAGGTCTTCCCCTCCTACTGGCACTCCTCACTTGCAGCTAGAACATCGACATGATGGAGGGTCAGATCTGGTCGTCGGAGCTCCAACCACCAGCTTCTGCTGTACGCTTCCCTCTCAGCTAAATGTTAATTGCTTAGGCACACCCGGTTCCTTGGCTCCGGTGTCCTACTCGTGGGTATATGGCTCAGCTGTTGTCTTAAGCCCCTTCCAGAAAAACAACAAGGAGAGCTCAGTGGCAGTGCACCATCATTTGGACTTGAGTGTTGTCTTGATTTTCTGGCGTGCCCAGCCTACTTACGCGAAACAGTATGGAATGTAAGTTCTGCTTGGTGGGAGGCTTCAATCTTGGCAACGTCCTTGTAGTCACAGGGTGAACACAAGCCAGTTGCACATTCATGCCTTAGTGATGCTGGCAAGGGCTGACGTTTTGCTCCCTTACCTGCTGGAACTATGGATGGGGAGAATGGGAGTGTCACAGCAGTGACAGGCAGAATGTGGCCCAGCCTCAGAGCTTTGTAGAGGAGAAGGGCAGCAAGACCCAGAGACCGCTCTGGGCTGTTGGCAAGGCTTCACACTGGCTGTTTCAGTAATGGGCACGTCATTATACCATACGTGGATTTCATTCATTCATTCGATACTGAGGCCTGCTGTGTATGCCAGGCACTGTTTGGTTTTTGTTTTTGTTTTTTAAGGATTTAAGTTATTTGGGGGGAGAGGTAGAGGGGCAGAGGGAGAAGCAGGCTTCCTGCTAACCAGGGAGCCCGACTCAGTGCTCAGTCCCAGGACCCTGAGATCATGACCTGAGCCAAAGACAGCCGCTTAACTGAGCCATCCCATGCCCAGGTTTGGGACATTTGTGGACCATTTTTGTGGACTGTAGTGTCTTTCATCCTAAAAAAAAAAAAAGAAAAAAAGTCCTGTGAAGCAGTCCTTCTCTACATTGTATAGGGAAAATCGGAATTCATAGTGGTTCAGTGACTTGCATGAAGTTGCACAGTTGAGAGGACCAGGATTTTGAGCCTTTAACTCTTTCAGTATGGCCTTCTCTGTTTTCAGTGGAAATTTTAAACAAATGCTAGTGTCCAGGCCTTAGCAGCAGTGATGCAAGGGTGAAGGGATCTTTTCCATTTTCAAGTTCACTTTTCAGCTTGCTATCCATGTACCAGAAACCAAGCATCAGCTCACCAAGGCTGTTTGTTTTCATTGAGGTATGATTGACATTAGCTTCAGGTGTACAGTTCAGTATTTGTATGTATTGCAGAATGGTCCATCCACTTTACTTGTGGTGAGGGCTTTTAAGATCTATGCTCTTAGTGGTTTTCTGATATACAATACAGTGTTGTTATTAACTGTAGTTACCATACTGTACGTTACATCCCTGGGACTTATTTTGGTTTGTTGCTTTGTTTTAAGTGGTGATTTGGCCGGGTCAGGAGTTTGGGTGCATTGCTTTCCCCTGTGAACTTGAGCCAACTGGGAGAGGGCTTGCTTGTTTGATCCACTCAACCTGGGCAGAGAAGGGGGAAGAAAGAGATGTTGGGGTCTGCTCCTGTGAATCCTGGAGGTGAGGGCCATGGCCACCACACCCGAGGTAGGGGGTCCATAAGATTTTGAGTGTTGGGGATGGACACCAGCATAAGGCAGGGACTCTACCCATGGCCCAGTTGATGTCTGTCTTTCCAGTTTTACCAGTTTGGTAAATTCCTCCCATGGGGAGGTGTAGAAGAGAGGTCTGCATGAGAAGTGGTTCCCCCAGTACGCCTGTCCCCTGAGGGCTAAGGAGGAGAAAGCTGCTCCCCTTTAGAGACCTCTGATAAATCATAGCTTGACAGATTAGGGGGTACGGCTCAGGGGTAAAGCATTTGACTGCAGAATTTGACAGATTATTCCAGGTTTGGATGGGTAGAAACTTCTCTGGATGTGACAT